CCTGTTGGTAATGGCATATTGGATAACAGAACATCTTACGAGAGCGACAATGACAAGCATAAAGACGCTGATTTTGTAGTAAATAAATTGATTGTTTCCGAAGAATGACGTACATTTCATATTTATTAAAAATCAATGCAACGATTTGGTAGAATGGCATTTGTTATAAAAGACTAGTCCCTATCGTAAAACTTGATATACATCGATGACCATGTCATCATCATGATGTATAATGTCTGCACTAGAGAGATGATCATGAAAAGTCCAGTTAGTTTTGAATATACTAGCAATGAAAACCAACATGTATTGGCTCTTCCAAGTACTTGCAAAAAACTGATTTTGCTCCTTTAAAAAATTGCTTCATCAATTTGATACTATAGGCTCTGATACGTACGGTACATGTATACTTTAAATAACATGAAAACCACATGAAAACTTGCTTTAAATTTTCATTGTCCTAGAAGATATAAATTTCACTGAGTCTCAACAAGTCGCAAAAGGTCATAAAATGATATCAGCTTTAGGGCACTTTTTGGTATTTCACACGTTGGCTTTTCTGCTTACACGTTTACATGATATGATCTTGAAACTCATCGTATAATGGATAGAACTTGTGCATTTTGCTTTCATTGATTCTCTTTGACCTTGACCTATAAAAATTGACCTTGACTTCAAGTCACCTAATCATCACATAATGATCACAGTAGCCCCAAGGGTCAAACAGCCACCAAATGCATTGAAACACAAAATACTAAGATATTGACCTTCCACATTGGAATGACCTTGACCCATGAAGTTGACCTTGACCTCAGGCCACTTAGTCATGAGTCGTCTAGGGTCACACCACACAGACCAAGGGTTTTAAAAAGCCAAATTCCCAGATATTGACCTTTGACCTTGAGATGAAAGACAGACAGTTCACCGTGCTTCATAGTAAGATTTTAAAGGATCCGAGTTCTCCCCTCATAAAATACCTAAATATTTAAACATCACATCGTGTCATTTCTTTCACGTTTAAACATACTTTCGGGAAGCAGAAACATATTCGTCATAAATCTCTTCAATGTGAATGAATCTTCAGAATGTAGAAAGATGTGTTCCGCTATGAAGTACTTAAAGTAGGCTGTATAGTTTGATGAAAAGCCTCTATAGGATGTAGAATAAAAAGCGCGTAGACACTTGACAAATGTATCAGAGATAGAAGGATTGTTATCACGTAATCAGGGGACCATGAACAGAAGCTTCGTAAAGTTAAGAATTTCTGAATTCATTGCTGAAACCGTGGATGTAATGATGTGAAAGCAGAGAGCAATGAACTTCAGGTGTTGTTGTTTTAACTAAATGAGGTTTTTGTGTCCGTCTCCCAAAGTACAGTTCCAATACGAGCGTCTGTAACAAATGGCTTGGGGTGACATCTTCCTTGATATAGCGGTGTATCAAAGTGACGTTACGATTGAATGGTTGCTGGTTAATATAAACTTTTATAATAAGTGTATATCGATGTCATCAGTCGGCGTACGGTCGATTGAATATTTTGTTCAAAATGTGAATCAAAATTTGAACAAGATATTCAATCGGCCGGGCGCCAGCCGAAGAATCGGGACAAATGTGACTCGGGTATAAGCAATGACTAAATGAAAATACGTGAAACACATAATTTTTTCCATTGGCTTTGGATCTGTCTAGTCGACGAAATTTATTGCATGTTTTGAATAACGCAGATGCGAGTAGGTAGTTACCAGTTTCACCACCAGGTGGCTCGTTCGGGTCAGATAATTAAATTAAAGCTGTTTTAGTGTTCAATTTTCTTATTACCCTTATGTATCTAATAGTTATGCAAATTGAAACATGTCCAGTAAAAGAAAATGATCTGTCCAATACAAGAAAAGATATATCACTTTTTGTGATTTTGTAACTTGGGGTCTATGGGGAATCAACCCGAACTAGAGGTCGAAAGAGTGGTATCGATATGGAGAACTGAATTCAACAATGTTTTTCTTTTAAACCAATCATTGAAAACATTCTGTAAAAACACGGTATTTGATGTAATGTTGACTGATTGACAACAATTTGATGCGAAAATTATTTAGAAATATTTTATATAACTGTTTTTGTTAACATTTTTGTTTTTTTTAGTGCAATTGTTTTTGCTCCTTCTACCAATTCTTGAGAATGAAATAAAATGTCTTTCCGAACCTTGTTGGAACAAAATAGTATATACAAATATCTAAGCACGAGTGCCAAGGTGAAAGACCAAAAGTTGTAATGGAACTTAGCAAGAAAAAGCAAACTCCAAGTGCATACCAGTCCAGAAAAACAAACCCCATATATCCCAAAACCATGATCTAACGTGAAAAGAAACAATGTCTAATACCCCCTTTCACCCACCATTCAAGAACCGATATCACAATCCAAGACCAGAACACCAAGGGACATTTCATTCATGTTTTTAGACCTCTCAATATTATTTTTATATAAAGGAATTTTTGGTTGATTTTAAAAAAGTATTCAAAAATAGAACAAAATCCCCTCAAAAAATCAAGATAAACCTTTTATTTCATTAACAAGATACTTTTTTATAATCGGAAAATCCTACATTTAAGAAACTTTCAAGTGAGGTTTTATATAACATTATATTAGGCATGGAGTTTCCAATGAAAAATTGGGATAATGTTTTGATTATTTCATGTAAGAATGTCTCAATTATGTGCCAAAGAAGATTTTTTGGCTGATTTACCAATGTATCCATTGATATTTTGGGTCTATATTTTGCTCATGTATACATGTATAATTCATGATATTGTAATTGTAATTAGCATAAGGTATTGTGTAAGATTGTTTTTATTGTCAAACTATTCTTCAGTATTGGAGGCTAAATAAATAAATAAATAAAATCAACCAAAATTTCCTTTGTCCAGGGTGTTAAAAAACGCAACCCAAGGAAATCGCTATATCTTGAAAAGTACTAGTTCAATTATGTTCATTTTTTCAGGAAAGAAAGAAGAGACTGTGTATGTGTAGCTATTGTAGATGGTTAGTTGTAAAACATGATGCCTTGGACACCTGCTCAAAAGTTGTACTGGGAAAATATGAAAAACACAGTCAGGAGTGACTGCAACCCCAAAAGACAGTTGTACTAATAAAATATAATTTTGATAAAACTCCACAAATTCACCACACATTGAATGAGAATAATGTGTCTAAAATCTGAAGTGTCAAAACACTATGGTTAGAAAGTTATTTGGTTTTATTGCTGTGACAGTCACCTCTGACTGCCTTTTTCGTATTTTCCTTGTACAACTGTCTTTAAAGCAGATGTCCAAGGCATCATGTTTTACAACTTACCAACAACAGGGGCTATACATACACAGTCTCTTCTTTCTTTTCCTTAAAAAATGAACATAATTAAATTAGTACTTTCCAAGATATAGTGATTATCCATTCGCGTTTTTCGTATTTTCCTAGTACAACTGTCTTTTGAGCATGAGGTGTCCAAGACATTCTGTTTTACAACTAACTAACAGCTGGAGCTATATACATACACAGTCTCTTTTTTCTTTCCTGAAAATATGAATACAATTGGATTGGTATTTTCCAAGATATAGCGATTTCTTTGGGTTGCTTTTTAACACCCTGTACAATTACTAACAATATTAAGAGACCTAAACATGTTGTGTTTGTGTCGATTTGCTCCAATGGGGTTCGGAAAGATGTTTCATTTCACTCTGGAAACATGATACCAAGAACAAAACAAGTCTTTGATGTGTTTTCTAAAACAATATAGATGAATATATATATGTATATATATATATTTCAAATTATATTGTTACCATTCAAAAGATGACCATTAAATTGACGATGTGTTAAATTTTTAGATTTTTTATGACTGGTTTAAGAGAAACGTGTTTTCAAAAAGTTCTCCATATTGATACCACTCCGTTCCAAAAAAATCCAAAATTGAAAGTTGTCACTCAAGACAGGCACACATATTGAGGTTACTTGTGTCACTATGTAACTGATATGAAGTTCCGAAGATGTGCGTGTCGCTGTAACAATGTATTGTTTCTATAAACGGGTTGCATTTTTGTATCACCTTGTATATAATAAGTTTTCAATGAACCTCTTGTTTTCTTGTTTTTTTTCATGAAACGAGTGGAGCTATTTATCAAGATAACAGAACAGCTGAAAACAAAAGTTGTGGCGGTGATTCTGTTGGTTGAATTAACTGAAACATATTTTATAATGTGTTGCTATATAATCTAGAATCCAACATCTTATATCGTGCTCCAAGAGTCCATAAATCATAATTCCGTGCCTGGGTAAAGTTTTCTAAGTGGCAGCTCGCCATAATAAATCATACTTGGCTGCGCATGCGCATCTAGCGAGAGTTGAGGAATTCTTGTTCCATGGACATTATTATTCGTCAATAAGTCTTTCTCTCATGTATCGGCAGAATATTATTAAATAAACAGTAAGAACTTGAAGGAATCGTTAATTAAACTCCAATATCCCAAACGGAAATCAAACGTGCAAAGAAACATTGTCCAACGTCTTCTCCCCCACAGCCCACGACAAATACATATATGTAGTGTCCAAAGCCTTCCTTCCACAGTCTAGAACAAATCGGAAACATTGTCCAACGCCTTCTCCCCCACAGCCCAGGACAAATACATATATGTATTGTCCAAAGCCTTCCTTCCACAGTCTAGGACAAATCGGAAACATTGCCCATCGCCTTCTCCCCCACAGCTCAGGACAAATACATATATGTAGTGTCCAAAGCCTTCCTTCCACAGTCTAGGACAAATCGGAAACATTGTCCAACGCCTTCTCCCCCACAGCCCAGGACAAATACATATATGTAGTGTCCAAAGCCTTCCTTCCACAGTCTAGGACAAATCGGAAACATTGTCCAACGCCTTCTCCCCCACAGCCCAGGAGAAATACATATATGTAGTGTCCAAAGCCTTCCTTCCACAGTCTAGGACAAATCGGAAACATTGTCCAACGCCTTCTCCCCCACAGCCCAGGACAAATACATATATGTAGTGTCCAAAGCCTTCCCTCCACAGTCTAGGAAAAATCGAAAACATTGTCAAACGCCTTCTTCCCACAGACCAGGACAAAGAAACAATGTCCAATGTCTTGGCCCCGCAGTCCAGGACAAAGAAACAATGTCCAACGCCTTCTCCCCACAGTCCAGGACAAAGAAACAAAGTCCAATGTCTTGGCCCCGCAGTTCAGGACAAAGAAACAATGTCCAACGTCTTCTCCCCACAGTCCGGGACAAAGAAACAATGTCCAACGCCTTTTCCCCAATAGTCCAGAACACGGAAACAGTATCAAAACGCCTTCTCTCTCACAGTCCAAGACAAGACATAAAATGCCCAACGTCTTCGCCCCACAGTCCAGGACAAAGAAACAATGTCCAACGTCTTCTCCTCACAGCCCCGGACAAAGAAACAATGTCCAACGCCTTATCTTCAACAGTCAAGAACAAGGAAACAGTATCCAAACTTCTCTTTCACAGTCTAGGACAAATCTGAGACATTGTCCAATGCATTCTCCCCCACTGTCCAGAACAAAGAAACAATGTCCAACGTCTTCTCATTACAGTCCAGGATAAAGAAACGGTATCCAACGCCTTCTCCCCCACCGTCCAGAACAAAGAAACAATACCCAGCGCCTTCTCCCCCAAAGTCTATCCAACACCTTCTCCCCCACAGTCTAGAACAAAGAAACAACTGAACAATGTCCAACGTCTTCTCCCCACAATCCAGAACAAAATAACAATGTCTAATGCCTTCACCCACACAGTCTAGAACAAAGAAACAATATCCAACGTCTTCTCCCTACAAACCAGAACAAAGTAACAATATCCAACACCTTCTCCCCCACAGTCTAGAACAACATTGTCCAACGCCTTCTCCCTCACGGACCAGGACAAAGAAACAATGTCCAATGTCTTGGCCCAGCAGTCCAGGACAAAGAAACAATGTCAAACGCCTTCTCCCCCACAGTCCAGAACAATGAAACAATGTCCAACCCCTTCTGCCCCACAGTCAAGGACAAAGACACGATGTCCAACGTGTTCTTCCAGAACCTACAGTCCAGAGCATATTTTCACAATCCAAAACAACAATACCATATTAAACATTCCAATCATTCCTGAAGGATTAACACTTCCTGGATCTCAAATCTATGTCAATAGATAAGGTTATAAAGAGAAATAAAAGCCTCGTCAAAATGGACAAGTCACATTATTAAATCTGAAGAGTATATTACAATTCCTGTATTATTTATAATTAATTATTATCTGCTTTTATTTATCAGCCATTTATCAAAATGACCGACCATTAATGGCCGACCATTAAGCCAATCGAGGCATGGGCCATAATAGTAGAAGTATAATTAGTATCAAATGGATATTAAAAATTCAAATTATAAAAACCAATTATTATATACTCCAGAATAATAATCACATTTTCTCATATTCGACATCGCGTTTATGGATTAAGAACTGAAGAATACTCGGATACAACGAGAAATGATTCCAATCGCTCCGATCATCATAAATGGCCAACCCAGTAAGGACTAGGAGATTATGAAATATGTTAACTTAGAACAACGATCATTACCAATTAGTTTCTGAAGCAATTTCTATAAGGTTTTCAAGATAATAATTACTCTAATGTAGCTCGTATTAGAAGTGGTCACGCTGAATATCCTGCTTGTGTATTAACAATCACTCTTCCTTTGTTCCACATTTGTCAAGTGTCACAAAGCTTTTATTCCACATCCTATGGGTGTTTTCATCAAATTATCCACCATACTATACTTACTTCATAGCAGAACACATCTTTCTACAAAGAGGATTCATTATCATTGAAGAGATTTGTGACGAATATCTTCCTGTTAATTTTCGAAAGTACGTTTACCTTGGAAGAGATAAGACTAATCCTTCCGCACTCAGTTAAAGTCCGCTCGGGTACACATTTCGAGATTGTAGGAAGAATAAAGGTTTGGCTAGGGGTAAAATTGGAAGGAAACCCAGGTTCAGTCGCTTTTGAGTGACATTTTAATCACGGATGTGTACCTTCAGTATTTAGATCATTAAACTGAATCATTCTGTCGCTAGAATCATGGTGATGTGTACACATAATGCTGCCAATCGAAAACAATATTGATTATCGTTTGCTTCATTTAACTTTTCAAGAATAGCCTAACATCCTTGTTATGATTTATGAAGCCAATGTTACCTGCAAAGTTCTTCCAAGTTGTAACTTTTTATTTATTTAGGAAAAATTGTCGATATCAATTAGATGGAGCACATAAAAAAGCTGTTACTCTCAGATAAATATTTGAATTATCTATTAATCTTGTCACTTGGCGATTTAGCAGGAAGTAAACATTTTATTGTTTTACATCCTATGCCCAAATGTCATCATACAAGGCCAAATATCATCATACAACTGTCGGGAATAAAGATATGAGAACATTTTCATTAGGATATTTGAATTGCCAATTGCATAACATTAAAATTACTTTACTTGTATAAAAACATTACATTGTATACATACAGGGTGTCCCGAAAGTATGCCACTCACCCCCTAGGCAGACATATACCAATGGCCCCATAGTATGTATCATATATCATGTTAAAGCTCATCCAAAGTTACATTGATTTTCAACTCACAAATGGGAAAAAGTTACGTGCATTTCAAAATTCAGTATATATGTCTGTCTAGGGGGTGGGGGCAATACTTTCGGGACACCCTTTACTTGCAACTAAATAGACTGACAACAAAATAGGCGAGATGGTTATATACCATTAATGACTTAATGTGGTACAGTTTTAAACCTTTTGATGAATACTTCATGTAAGACTGGCGATACAGTTCGTATAGCATCCATTAATGTATGAGTTTTTGTCTAGGTCTTAGTAGTGTTAATCGGAATAACTGCTAGAATGGCTTGCTCTTACATAATTACGTCACATTCGGATGGTTCAATAAAGCCTCACATCTTCCCACTTTACATAACTATACACTTCTTTGGGTAATGTTTAAAAATGATTTATAAAGAACAAAGTAATGTATAATTAGTCTTGATTTATATTATGTTATCCACCACGAAGGTGTTACTTACAAAAAGTAATTATATCACGCAAAGCTAATGTTAGTTTAAGTCAAACAATATTACAAATCGGATCGACATCACAACGTTATTCAAATAGTGGAAAAGGCTATTCATATCATGTAGGTTAGATGAGTAATCTTGTTTAAAAACTCGAATTCATTCATTCGAATTCAAGTTATACAAAGCCATATTTTGAAAATACATGTAATTTGCTGTACAAAATCTTTTGCAACGTCTGAAAAAAATTAAGCACACGATTCAATTATTAACTGTAGATGATTTAATCCACTTATGTCTATTCGTGCTGCCACACTCATTCAAAGTCTGTAAACAAGACATACGTTGTTTAAATCACCTAACGATTCATTGAATCCTGGGCTTATTAGCAATTCGTGGTTATGCCACTGCATAGGTGTCATACTTGTTGATGTCGTACGATCGCAACTGTGATGTTTACGATTATAGTAATTTAGGAATCGTAAGTAACGGTTCCCTGCTGTACAATTACTTAACTTCAGATGTCAATGAATGATTTGAAAATGTCTTTGGTATCTGAAGCTAATATTTAACGTCAATGGGTGTATAAATATATGCAAATGAATCCTCCTAAACAATAATTTGTTTCAAAAACCTCAAACCGTCCAACAAAATTAGCAGAAATAACAGAATTTTTTAAAATGGCCATGTTTCTTACTTTGTTTTCCAAGAATCCTTGCATTAATACAAAGACCTCAGACCTGGAGAATACAAAGATATATTTTACTTGCAACGAAGGCGTTGATTTTTATTGCAGACCTATTTTTGTTACTCTATGTAAATTCAGATAACATTGAAATGTAATTGTATTTGTTTTATGCTTCTGAAACCTATGTACTGTCTTCGTTTCTCTGAGAAACTGTCTTCGTTTCCTAATTAAACGATGAAATTGATTTGTAATTATCACTGAATGCATTTCTAATGTGTAATAATATTTCGAAACCAGAATCTACGCACTATATACCGTATACCAAATATTCGGTTAGCAAAGTCTTTTACCGAAAGATCGGCCATCCTGAAACGAAAACAAAACTGTCTTCGTTTCCAGTTGATCCTCATTGACTAAATCATGACAATTTATATTCGTGTCGCCTCACAATCGAGGTTAATGATACTTTGACTATTAACTCTGTAAATACCTGGACCGCTTGGGACTCTAGGAATTATAGCCCAATTTACAAAATGATCGGACAAAGACCTAAATGTTGACTTCATTTAGTTTTTAAGTTAACGTGACTTTATTTTTGAGAAAAGTACAGTTATATCATTTTTCGAAGAAATGAGATCCATTTATAACAAAAATTGCTAATTTGGTCTTAGAAGTAATTATTAATGAGGTATCTAGTAACTTGTTTGATCTAGTAATTTGTTTGATATGGTGTCTATGAAAACTATTTTTCATTACTAGCGTGTACACATCAGTACTGTACTACCGAGGGGAATAACATCCATTGTACCAAGACCGCATCTTCATGTTCATCTTCATTGGTCTTCGACTGGCACACGCCAATTCATATTATGACCATCACCGATTAGTCGAAAACCTATCACATTCACAAAACAAAACATTATAGGTTCCTGGCGAAAGTATAATGCAATATCACAACTTGTTTATTCTACATCAGAATAAAGATGGATATGATATAAGGAATTTGATTACGTGTCATTAAAACATCACATTGATGTGCAATATTTCTATAATAGAGGATATAGATAAAAAAAATAGATAAAATATGCGCAAAACGAAGGGGTATGCGGTTATCATGGCAGCTGTAAATTATGGCTTATCTCATTCTCTTCCTTCTACCAATGCTTCCAATCCTTAAATCTTGTTGCAATTGGATCAACAATTTCACCAAAATTACGTCCTCGACTCCCAGTCGTCCCTATATGCGTCAAAAGTCTTCTACTGGAGTAAAGATGTCGGTGTGGAATCCAAACCAAACCACAACTCAATTAAGACGATTCGTTTGAGTTCTGCAAATATTATCCCCGAGAGAGCACCATGGAAAATAAGTAATGTTTCATTGTTAATGTATCATTTGAATTTTGCATTGTCTCTAAGGTTTAGTCGACATTTCCTATCCCCATGACACCTCTATCAACAGCTTCACAGCATGTCCTACGAGTGGAGTTAATATCATTCGTGATTGCCCTTAATTATATACAATATGTACTACACCCTTTATTTCCAGAACGATGCCTGGCAACATTACTTGTTAAATGGCCTCTTTTGTAATATAGTATTACCATAAACCGTTTAATAAGTGGAATTATACCGTCTAATTTTTATCTATTTCCTCTTTACATGAAAATTGACCGAAATAATTATCCTTTCTCGAACACTTAACATAAACAATGTCGAAATGAAAATTCCTTCAATGTTGCATCAGGGATGAAGGATAACAAGAAAGCAATTTAGCGAAGTCAAATAAGTATTATAGTTATTTTATGCTAAATCATTTCATTGCCATAGAGGATTACGAAAGAGACCATTCAATTATGAACAAATATTGACAGAAAATGACTAGAATTCTCTAAAAGATCAGATTTCTCATCGCCAGGAAATTTCAAAACAGGGACAGATTTTTTCAATTTAGCATCGAGTTAGTTCAACCTATTATATCAGAAAAATAATACGTTTTTTGACTTACTAATAAAAGTAACTCATGCTTTAATGTTATTTATGAAAATGATGCGGAAATTCAATTTATCCCAAAACTTCATAATACAGAGCTGGCTGCTGCTTTTCTCACTTTTAGTGGGTGGATATGGAAAGGTATGTTTATTTACTGTTATTACGTAAAGATTCTTATTGGAAATCAATGATATGGTGTACTTTGTATCCATTAACCAACTTTAGCATCATGAGTTTGTTTAAAATGAAGGTATATTCTTATCGACGCACTTAAGTTGAAATAATTGGACAATAGAATCAATGCCCAAAATAGATGACGAAAGAATTCTTGGCATATTTAACTTGGGTGATAGAGAAAATCAATCTGTCTCACTCGTGAGTGATCACATTGATAGCTCTTAACACAATTGGATTGTTCTGACAATGTTTGTCAAACTGTTGTTTTCATTGGGAATGAAAGGTGCGTAACTTTACTGACATCCTATAGCAGGTACCTTTTGCATTTGTTCGACTTCGCTTCTAAAAAGAGAGCTTCATCTTCAGTAGTTTATAACTAGACTGAGCGCAGGGTAGCAAGTAACGTATTTTCAACAAGGACAGGCAAAGGGTATATATATGTTTATATGCATATACGAGTCGTATAAATGATCCATTTATATCAAAATGACCGACAATTAATGGCCAACCATTAAGCCAATCGAGGCATGGGGCATAATAGTAGAAGTATTATTAGTATCAAATGGATATTGAAAAATTCAAATTATAAAAACCATCGGAAAGCTTGTTTGACAAACGTTAAGGTGTCTATTTAATTCTAAAATTATTATTTCTTGATCAGAATGTATAAATCTAATATTCTTGAAATAAAAAATAATTATTTAGTTTTTCAAAAGGCAAAGTAAATTAAATTGGTAAAAATAAAACCATGGCATTTCTTTAGCGTCTTTATTCGATTTTCAATTACAGTATATATTTGATATTTAAATGTTCTTGTTTGAATTTTCATTTTTCAATTCAAACATTCAAATTTTTGTTCAATCCTTTGAATTCTTATATAATGTTCACTTTTTGATTTTGATATTGCAATTTTAGTACATTTGTTTAAATGTCGATCTTCAGAATTTGATAAAAATGAATAGAATACTGTATTAAGTCATACGTTGAAAATATGAGATACCTCATATATACTTTGGTAAAACGCTTTAGGAAGAAATCTGCCCGTGCGTCTGGAAAGAAATTGGACCAAGCGACTGGTACTATACAACCCCTCGATGTTCATGCCCCATATCATCTGAGTGTCCAACGGAATGGAACGATTCTGATGACATGTCAGTTACGTTTAGATGGCCAGGTAGGTGGTCTTAATAGCAAATCAATAGATAGGTGGTCTCAACGACAAATCAATCGAAAATGGAGAATAATTGGCAAGGGTTTTGGGACCGCCATTTTGTCACTCATTTTGTCTTAGATTATTATTAGAATTTTCATTTAAAGTGTTGGTTATTTAGTTATTAATCGAAATATGTAATTGGTCGCTTTAAAAAAACTTGATTAACCTACGACGTATAGCGTATCCGTTCTTGGATTGGTAGAACAATATCTGTATAAAACCTAATCAAAATAGATAGATGTTTTGAAGTCATATATCTAGTATAGCAAATGCCAGAGGTCTAACAAAGAGTGAGCCAAAAACTTCATCCAGAAAAACATTCCCATCTTTTCAAAGGCCTCTTTCCTAAAGTACTCTCTCATTGACTAACTAGTAACTTTTGAGAATTTTATATGATGCTGTCTCTTATTAAAATATTTTAAAAATAATTTTTATTTATCTTAAATGTACATTCATCTCAGTAATGAAAATATTATTTCGATCTACGTGTAGGTTTACCGTATAAAATGCTTCCTACAATTTCCAACACAGAAAATATATTCTTCATATATAATTGTACATGTATCACTTGATTGATGTACAACGTCTATAAATGGAGCAATCTCAATATTGATAGAAATATGTCCCGCAATAAAATACTTAATAATTCATGTTTATGGTCAAGATTACAACATCCGACCTTGGTTTTTTATTATAATTTACGACATATAATAATCCGGATGGAGTGGCTCAATGAAACAATATTCAGTCATTGTTGAACATAATGGAACATTTACGAGTTGTCAATCATGTTTAATATTTTTAGATCGACTGGAATACGTACTTCAGATGAAATTCTGCGACCATATTTATCAACCAAACTCCCCCCTCTGCAAAGAAGAGCCCGGAAATGTGGCTTTTACTCTATCAAGACATCCCCCCGATATCAGAGCCAATCACTTGGCCCATGCTAACTGTAAGTGCCAACCGGGAGTCGCTGCCATGATGAAGTCTCAATGGCAAGAAGAAGGACCAGACTCCTCAGTAACATACCACAATTTTACATGTTATCAGGTATTGTAATAGTGTATTATGCATTTTCATAAAAATAAAGTGCGGAGAAAGCATGAAACTGAAGTTCAATTTGAAAAAGTATAACGATATCTCAATAAATCCCAAAAGCAAATGGAATCCAATTGTGCAAAACACAGGTTTTAAAAATATTAAAGATACATAATCATAGATCTAAATAAGCATATACCATGCTTTCATATGTCACTTGAAAAAAATCAAGCGGCAATCGATGCGATGACGATGACGCTATCAATTTCAACCCGTGGCACAATCACGATGTCCAACCAAAACGCTCTTACATGCACGACGGAGTGTTACATTACTGAAGCTAACCCTACTATCACACCAAACTAGTTCTCACTACGTTTTCGAAAACGGGCTTCAACTGTGTACAAACGGACTCTGGACCTACTAAGAACCGTTTGGGATCTATTTACAAACTTCATCGAACGTACTCGAACGGGTAGGTCCTCTAGAACTTAGACAATGCTCAAAATGTTCTCGTGGTCGTCACGTCTACAATTAGAACGAGTGACAACGTACTAACGACGAGCTGGACGTACTACGAACGGAACCGTCGTACTTCAATCCTACTAGGGACGTTTTAACAACGCGTTGAACTGTCTGAGGACGTGTTGAGAACGAGGTAGAACTAATTGCAAACTGATTTAAACTGATTAAGAACGTGTTTAACACTGCTTATGAACGTGTTAGCAAAAATATAGCTATCACACAAAACAAGTTGCCACTGCGTTCTTCAAAACTGGTTTTAAACTGTGTGCGAACGGAATGATCGTAGCTGCAACTTTCTAAGGTCTATTTACGAACTTTATGATCGTTCTCAGACGGGAATGTGATTTTAGAATTTTGAATCGATTCAACGTTCGATGGCGACCATACCGTTCTGTAATCAGGTCATGTTGACCTTCTAGACTAAGGGACGCGTTCTACTACGTTGCACACCGACGTAGTGCGACCTGAACGAACTGCGAACGAGATGGACGTATTGACGACTGTTTAAGAGCGAAGAAGCTAATTATTTCAGACATATTTCCCGACCACAGCCAGATTGAGCTCGTTTTACGACGTTTTCGTAGGACTGGCAAGAACGGGTAAGAACTAGTTTGGTGTGATAGGGGGGTAAACAAAGAAACGCTTCGGAGTTGGAAAAATAGCGGGCGGGATTGATGGGCCGTCTGACGATTTCCCAAATAATGGGAATAAGAGGTATGTGTTACGTATTTCGAGTATACCATTCGATGGGTGTGATATTCATGTTGTACTTGGCTGGTTGTTGACGTTTGAAGCAACTTGGAAGTGCTGTACGAAGCAGTATAGTTATCAAAATTCATAAACGAATTTGTCAGTCTACCGGTCGAAACCACTTTTGTCGAGACATGTGATTAGTTCCAAAGTTTCAACACACCATGCATTATCGTAATTGTGATTTGATGACCGAAAATCCAGTCTTAAAAATGATTATAATCTCATATTTAAGAAACGCTGCGACCTGGTTAATATAGTGAACTGGAAACGTTGTGGGACTAGTCTAGATATGTTTAGGCATTTAGGAATTAGCTTGACTTTCTTTTTCAGGAAGAGAAAGAAAATATATATTATATCCATTGGCATCAAAAGAAGAGAGATTAATTCACATATAAACGTTTTGTTTCTTTGTCAATAGTTTTAGCACACACGTAGGCATATCACCTGATGTAGGCTTCAGTCGGCTTGTTGCATGTGTAGCACCACCAGGTTGAGAAGTTTCAATTTTAGAGATAGATTCGATTACGAACTCTTCTCTAATGATCTGAAAATAACATTCTGATACTCATAGCATCTCTCTCTGTTGCATCGCAGATCTCTCCAGAAAAATAGAGATGGAGAGGGCGTGGCTTACCACGATGTGAAAATGATATCAAAACAAAATGGTAAGAGCGTTCCTAAAATTGTGTCCAAAATAAACGGAGCGTTTCGAGGAAAACAAGTGATTTTTCGAGAACAAGTAATGGATTTGGACTAGGATTCTAGCAAATGAGAATATACGAGTTTGTGATCTACTACTTTGACAGAAAGATTGACGTTTTCATTTAAATACTAATAAATTTAATTCGTAATTTGTGGTCAATTCGCAACTTCAGATTCGTTCCATCTACACTACGGAGCTTTGATCAAGCAAATAACAGTTTACCACCAGAAGTTGAATAAATAATATAAGATCTTTGCTCGGGGTATTGTTCATCGAATGGTACATAATATGTCACCATATAACATATGTTATCAGGCCCGTAAGACACTTTTCTCCAAGGGGGGTGCGGTTTTTAGCTTACTAAAGAGAATATAAAATTGTCATTTTTTTGCCGCGTAATCAAATCGCGTAAGACAGAGGGGGGGGGGGTCAGTTACTCCCTATATTGGTTTGGAATTAACAAATGCAACTTCCAAACGTTCCAATTGTTTTGTAGGGGGTATGAGGAGTGGTCCACTCCCCCTAGAAAATTTTACAGTTTTGAGATGCTATTTGGTGCTTTCTGGGCACTTTCAATGTGTAAGTTTCTAAGTAGTACGCCACCACCACGGGAATAAGAGTTGAGTGAATAAAAAACTGAGCATTCAGGGCCTAGGGGGTCTGGGGGTTCTCCCCCCAGGAAAATTTTGAAATTTGGTTGTATTTGGAGCGAATTTGCAACCATCTGGTACGCCTGTGCGATATGAGTCAATAAGAAAAATGTGAATTTTTTTTTCAAATTCTTTTAGGGGTGTCAAAGAGGATGAGAGGGTGAAGTGGGGTGGGGTGCCAGTAGGGGCGCAAGGGGTTGTCCCCCAGAAACATTGACCATATCAAGGTGCTATTTGATGATGTCTGGGCACTTAAAAAATGTCTGAGACAATACATGAAATTCAGAATATTTTCTTTTGTTTTGTGGGGGATGTGAGGGGTGGCTAACTCTCCTTGAAAATTTTACAATTTAAAGATGGTATTTGGTGCTTCTGGGCACTTTTAAAGTGTATTAGTCAATAAAAACATTGAAAAACAATCACAATTTTTTTCAAATTTTGGGGGTGTCAAAGGGGGGAGGGGTGCCAGAGGGGGAGGTGGGGCTGGGGTGCCAGAGGGGGAGCAAGTGTTTGTCCCCCATATCAAAATTTACAATATCAAGGTGCTAATCGATGAAGTTTGGGCACTTTAAAAGTGTCTGTGCCTAAAAGTGCCTATTTCCCAAGAAAATTTTACAATTTTAAGATGCTATTTGGTGCTTTCTGGGCACTTTTTGGGGTGTTAAGGGGGGGGGGGGGGGCTGCCAGAGGGGGAGGTGGAGTGGGGATGCCAGAGGACGAGTAAGTGTTAGTCTTCCAGAATCATTAACTTTATCAAGGATCGAGCTATTTGATGATGTCTGGGCAATTTAAAAGTGTCTGAGACAAAACACTAAAATAAATTTAGAACTTTCCATTGTTTTGTTTGGGGTGTGAGGGGTGGCCCACTCCCCCTAGAAAACTTTACAATTTTACGACGCTTTTTGGTGCTTTCTGGGCACTTTCAAAGTGTATGAGTCAATTAAAGAATTTGAGAAAATCACAATTTTTTTGGGGGGGGGGGGTCAAGGGGGGGGGGCAGAGGGGGGGCGCCAGAGTGGGGGGGGGGGGCAAGTGCAAGATGCAAGAGGGGGAGCAAGTCCCCCAGAAACACTAACTATATCAAGGAGCTATTTGATGATGTCTGGGCACTTTAAAAGTGTCTGAGACAAAACACTAAAATAAAAGAACTTTCCATTGTTTTGTGGGGGGTGTGAGGGGTGGCCAATACCCCTAGAAAATTTTTCAATTTTAAGATGCTATTTGGTGCTTTCTGGGTACTTTCAAAGTGTATGAGTCAATGAAAAAAAAATTACAAAAAAAATATTTTTCAAAAAAAACATTTTTTTCAAATTTTTTTGTGGGGTGACAAAGGGGGGTGCGGTCGCACCCATCGCACCCCCCCCCCCATCTGACGGCCCTGGTTATGTAGGAGAAACGAGTGAAACAATACTTACGGTCATAGTAGGATCTTCAAAAGCCACCATTTTATTTCGCTCCGCAGCGTTTCCACGTGAATGAAACGCTCCGTCGTGCATGTAAGAGCGTTTGGGTTGGACACCGTGACAATTTTCTTTGGTTTACAAAATCAATTTTTATTGGAATATCAAACCACTAGAACGCCAGATTGCGAATTAAATAGGTCTCTCACTCTCTGACTTAAATTTTTTTATGTGGAACCAGAATCATGAAACTAAATGTCTTAATAAATGGTTGTTTTTGGTCATTTGTGAACATTATTGTAAAATATGGTTCAGACCAAATGTCTTTGACACGACTATTATTGACATACATTGATATGTATTGGTAAATGTCGTTATTAACACTGTATTATTGACATAGTGTCATTTTGAATTTCCACTCCCATCATTCTAAACAACTTAATTTCCCCCAAAACTCTCAAATTAATGCTAACGAGTAGCATCTATTATTGAACACACCGAAATCAATTAATCTTATTCCAAAATACATTAATGTTGTTCAAAGTTTTTATTTTTATTTACTTTTTATAATTTCATTATTTAATACATGACTTAAATCAGAGAGAAACAACTTCCGAATCGTTTGAAAAGCCGTCTTTTTAATTTCTCGCCATTTTAAAAACAAAGACTATGTAGATCATCCACATGATTCGATCAAACTAAAAATATCGAAATCGACAATTGCCGTCCGCCATCTTAGATGCGAAGGTTACGGCTGTTACCTTCGCTTGATACTGACCAGTGATCAATTGGCAGTTGAGTGAAAATAAAACCTATATACATATACAAGTATATCCGAGTACATCCATATGGTTCGGCGATTATATAATTTTGAATGGGGCCTTAAAGGAAACGACTAAAGTAGTTCCTATTCCAGTACTCGTTCACATATATTGCAGAATGACCTGCTAAATAGTACGTTAAAGATTGCATTAAAGTCTAAATGGTTTAAATCACAATTGCATTTTCTTATTTGCTTTTAAGCCAAGATGCAGCCAAACTGACTTTTGTCGTTTGGACTATTTCGATGGACACATTGAGCACAGCTGTTTCTGTCCACAAGGTTCCACTTGCGAGCGAACAACGGACAATTCAAACAAAATTAACAGAAGAGGACTGGAGCACGTATATGACATCTATGAATGCAAGAAGTCACCATACTGGGGTTAATCTCAAAGTATTCTTGAACAATCGTGGACTACTCTGGGACATGGACAATTAAATTAAAATCTATAACGCATGATCTACAGCCAAAAATGCTTATGATGCTATTAAATATACTTACAACTGATAAACAATTAAACAGGTATAAAGTTGTATTTGATTGTATCAGAGGTTAATGGGTAATCAAAAATTTCATAGCTAGATCATGATTCATGATCTCCGAATTTCTAGTATATTTCACAACATCTGAACAATGGTAATCAAAAAGACAATTAATATTGTAATACATATGTACCGGTAGGCTTTTAAGATATTGGGGAGCTTTAGCTTGCAATGTTTTTCACAACGTAAACGTAAACGGAAAATATTTAAGCGATGCATGTGTATGGGCGATTGGCCATACGTATAGGTTGACGTTTCGATTTTATATGCAAGCTTAAAATCCCTACTGTTCGAAAAATCCTCCTGCTAAAGGGACTAGACGGAATAGAGGCGATTTAAGAATAAATTCCGGAAAACGTTGACGTGAACAATATTTACTCGCATCATCCCCTGTCGAGTCTTTTTTCTAAAGTCCAACAAATCTGCATCTACTTCGGGATAATCTTTCGATTTTCGAGGTATACTCTGGCCAAACAATTGGAAATGATTCGTTTCCTTTTTTCAATTGACTTTTGATATTTTTGCATATCAATTCTTCAATTACTCCTTTATTTGATCAGATATCTCAATGTTTACAAAGTATAATCTATCCTTATAATTTCTTTTAGTTAACAGGAGTTTCATTTGTAGACCATATGTAATTCAACAATACACTACTAAATTGCCATTCAGCCTTGTACAACATTAGGGTTAACATTGGTCCACCGTTGTTCCTTTAATATACAGCGGACTAAACTCAATGATATGTTTATTCTAGAAATTCCGACTGGGTACGCCATATTTAATTAGGCCAAAGAAATGTGAAAAAACAATTAAAGTACAAGTAGTGAAACTGAATTTACACTAGGTGATCAATGTCAATTCAATCTATACTAAGTAAAGATACATTTAGCCCACACTTAATCTAATGACTTATCAGTTGTCTTTGATCTTTCACGTGGGATTCAATTATCGTGTAGGACTCAATCAATTTCATTTTGTTCATTCTGTCACTGTAATGGCAATACAAATACAAAGGCTTCATAACTAAATTTCGTACTAAGCATGGTTTTATCATCCACTTACTTGAATTTATTCACACGTGGGGTTTATGTCAAAGTGATAAAATTTACAAATAGTACAAATCTTATTTTAATTTGATAGCCTGAATAGCTTAAAAGTGAATTTCATCATATTTCTATTTCTGTTCGTGGGAATATCTTAAGTGTTGTTAAAAGTTAGTTTTATTGATTTAAACATTGTATTGAATGTGGATGGATGATGTATTCCCTCATCAAATGTAGTCGCCCGCGCTTTTCGAAATATATTATGCCAACTATATCATTCAGAACTTTTGATCTATTGTGGTTTATGATTTTTAAAATTCCAATTGTACTTATGTGGTACATACTTCATTGTTATTAATTCGGTCCGCCCATATCCACGACAATACTCAAATGAATGAATGAATATTTATAGCGACACAAAAGTGTATTTGTATATTTTTTGTGTTGCAAAATATATACTAACTATTGTTATGTTGTAACTGAAAAAATGGGAACGAGTATTATTTCATCCCAATATTTGGACATTAGCATGTACCTTTATTTTAACCTGGATTATACATTGTAAGTACTACTAACCAAATGTTCGAGTTTGATTGGTCAATGAGCGGTCCACAAAATCACAAATGTTGAATTTCTCAATATGTATTTAAAAAGATAAGTTATCTTCAACACGCATTGTTACACGAAGACTGTTCATGATACTACAGTACATGAGTAAGCTACTACAATCACAATATCTCGCAATACTTTCTATAAGTGTCATATATGCACAGACATTAAAGAAAATGGTTAAACACGAACGATCCATTCATTTTTGAAGCCGAATTACACCTCCTTCGGTAATATACAACATGCATTTAGGTGTATTTATCTTTGACTTGATATCGGTCAAATTGCGCCATTCATCATTGTATTTTTAACAGGACGACAACAGTTTCAAGTAGGCATATACATTGACAGATTTGAAGAGTAAAGCGAACACATACACTTAACAGGTAATTTATCGAAATGTATTGTAATGTAAGGAAATAAAAAGACGTTTGTTACGTGCACGTGTCGATACGATTTCAAATGGCGTTTCAACTTAAAAAACTGCTGAACCGTTTTCATCAATTGAGCCACGTCTTCCTCATCTTGATAATGCTCTGTGAAGAAACTAGAGGAAGCATCCACGGAAAACTACGTCTGCGTGGAGAGTTTATCAAGGGACTATCTCCGGATCGTAAAGAAAATGTTCCCAATGGTGATGTTGATCCTCAGATGAGGCGAATCTTTAAAAGGAATGTCGGAGAAACAACGCCAACGACTTGTGAAGTGTATGCAAGTAACCCTTATATAACAAATGAGATAGCGGAACTCGTCCTGGATAATCAATTGATACACTATAATTTAATATTTCCAGACTATAAAGATAATCCGTTATTAGAAAACATGAGGAAAAATTTCCAGAGCAACAGTATGAGCAGAGCAAATGGTAAACATGGAATGACTTTGTTAAACTTAGATTTCAACTACCCTGTTTTGTCATTGACTCTTTTGACGATTGGTGTTATTCAGAAACGCGTTGAACTACAGGACAGGCCAATTCATTGTCTCTGGGAGCTAACAGAGGCAGAAAAGATCGACCTTATGATAGAACTGCTCCTGCGGGATTTTAGCTCTAACGCCACAGATACTACACTGCACGAAATGGATTATATATGCCACGAGGTGATCCGGAATAATAAACAGGGGGCGTATTTTACATATCGCTGCTGCAAACAAGATATTGTGAGTGGAGAGATACATTGTATAGACGACCTTCATCTCGACGATGTGTGGTTATACGTCATCTATGTCATGTTGATAACACTTAAAATCATAGTACTACTGTTCGGACCTCTCGTCGTCCCTGCTTATGTACAAAGCTTATCACTTGAACAAGTCCCATATGTTGTCAAACTAAAAGAACCGCTCCCTAAGACAATGTACATCCTAACGGGACAAGAGCCCAATCTTAAGTGTGAAAATCGATTATTCTATGAAGATTTAAAACAATTTCCGAAATTCCAAACTGTTATTCAAGATATGCCTACCGATGAAATAATTGACGTGAAGTTTACAGAGTATCACATTGATGTTGATCATAAGAACCTATTGATCGAATCTAAAGTACCAGTGGGCGTATTTCAATCCCTATATCGCTCCTGTTGTTTGTGTAAGATCCAACAAGTTTCGCCCTTCGATGAGTGCTGTACTCGAAGCGTTTGCGGCTGTTTGGAAGCTCAGTGTCCTATGTTTCCCAAATGGATCAACATTTTTAAGTTATTGGGGCGATTTTGCATCGTTCTACTAGTCCCATTCCCATTTTACATGAGAATAGTGCTGTATTATTTTACAGAAAAGGATGAAATCGTAGAACGTATGACTGCCCTGACTCAACTAGGTTTGAAACCACGTTATGAGTTCAATCTGATGGAATACCTCTCCCCGACTCATCCGATGCTGCTTATAATCTACATATTCTATTTGATAACAGCCAGCGCATTCGTTATGTTCGCCTCAAGAAAGGAAGAGCAGACGAACACACTTAAGAGCATCATAACTGCATCACTGTACGACATGGAAAATGTGTCATATCTAGAAGCATTGGCCTTTCTGGTACGTACACTAATATGGCCCTTCAGGACATTTGGAATATTTGGCTGCTTCATTGGGATTGTTTTCTGGCCTCTGACATTACCATTGGTGTTTATTGTGATAGCATTTTACTGTTTACCCATTGTTTACCTAACCTACAGAATGCTTGTACACATGAAAAACTATATATTTAGGTCAAACAAGCCACCAAAGAGGCGAAAGATTGTAGACCATATTCAAAGAGTTCGAGAAACCACGTTTATTGATACCATTAGTCAAGCTACGGAAACTAAGATTACATTGAGCGAATCAGATTCATGTTTCATGAAAGTAGTGGATATCATTGGAGGTGTACTTGTCATAGGTTGTGTATATGCCCTGACTATAATGTTGGCTGAGTGCATGGGAATGATCGTAGAGATGGCGGTCTACACTTTGATGGGCATAATAGTCAATGCTAGTTCTGTCCTCAAATACATGATGTTGATCATTCTTGTTCTAATCTACGCCCAGTCCTGCTTCCAAAACGTTTACAAGAAATACCTAAGCTTGAACAAAGCTCTGTTCGCAGACATCAAGGGTCGATTGAAAGAACTACAGGAGGTGGCCAATTTGCCCTCTCATCTCCAGGAAAATAGAGCGTTTAAGGGGCAAGAACTCAGTGAGCAAGGAGAGCATGAGTTACCAGACGATATTGCGAAGCGACAAATTCCAACTTGGATCATCAATGATTTGATACTTTTTCTAGACTCTGAAGATATGCCTCGGGTTCCTATCAAGTTATTTCAAGAAGTGTGCATGATCCGACTTGCCGGAAGTCCTGGCCCAGTCTATGCTAGTTTACTAGTCGCTGCTTGTAAGCTGCTTAGTATCATTATCTTCCTTCTCTTTGTGTTCGTTGTCATAATGACATTTGGGAGCATATACAGAATCTCGTCCACCAATCAAACACTCGCAACATTGGCTGGGGGCATGGTTCCTTTCTTATTTAAGCATAAAATCATATCTTCTGAAGCGCCTTGTGAACTTAACTCTGTAAGCTTCAAAAACAAAGTCAATGAGGTGATCGACAATTTCAAACAAATCTGGCCAATGAATGATTTCACGTTCGAATTGTTCAGTGATGAAGAGGAACCATCCGAAGAAGATGATAAAACAGATGCACCTAAAGAGAATGGTAAAGTCAATGGCAAGGATGATAAAAATGGAAAGGATAAGAAAGAGAAAGAACTTAAAAGACCAATAAGAAAAGATAATCATGTAAACATATTAATCGATCTGCGGACAACGTCTTTTGGTAGAAGAACAATAAGACAACCTCAAAACTCAAATGATGGAGACCTCGCCTCAATTATATACACATAATGAGAAAATGCTCAAAAACATTATAAATTTATAAATGCTCAATAGGTTCATGGATTGTGTATTTTGCAATGCATCAATTTCAATTTCATATTTACGAAAGGTGATATTATGAGTGCATTCAATTTTTGAAGCACTTGTAGAAGTATTGTGATAACCTTATTCGACCCCGTCGACAGTAACAACTATATCATTCAACTCTAAGTTGTAATACATGTATCTATGTGATATAAAATTATTATTGAATGGCGCATGCTTTTAATAGAATTCACTGTGATATGAAGTTGTCGACAGATGTGTGGCAACATTCCAAACTATAATTTACTATTTTGTAAAGTTTGCTACTATTTCGCTGAATAAATAAAAACTTATATTTACACTTAGGCTCACTTGATACGAGTACCATGTAATTATTCCGATCCCTTTGAGTGTGGTCAGTGTTGTCAGACTCACGAATGAATTTGTAGATACACCTCCTTTACCACACCATGCACAGAATTTTACCAATGGATATGCTAGAAATTGTCAATGTACAATATTTTGTAAATATTAATTCGACCTATTGTCCGAGAGTTGTTTGGACTAATGTTTACGATCCTGAAAACATGACAGCCATATACATTTAATTAGGAAGGAGATAGAGTACTTAAATTCCATTTCAATGTTTTATTTCGTCAATAAAACCTAAAAAGTAAGGAATCAAAGACCATAGTGGTGAAATATATGTTATATGCAATACACGAATGACATTTGCTTAACGTATGGAGCTCTCACACTAACACCGTGTGGGCTCCCCGTTCGCCATCGTGAGAATACTTTGTTGCAGACGCATGCTGGATACACGGTGGGCAAAAATAGTTTTACAGCACGATATTCCCCATCACACCAAATAAAAAAATTATAAATTAATTAGTATCTGCCACTATTCCATTCATATTTGAATGGTTTGTTCAAAAAATACTAGATTAAACCGGTAGCTGACAGCACATTTAACTAATTAATCTGAAATATCCAATTGTAATTTGTGGACAATATGAATATTTTTTCTATATATTACAGCAGTGTGGTCTCCTAATTCCTTACCCTCTAGGTATTATTGACAAAATGCATCATTAAAATGGACGGTAGGAAAAAAATAAAGTCCAAAATTAACAATGACGTAAACCGACTACCAACTCAATGTTGAATAAGGTAAGAATATAAGAATATAATTTGAATTAAATATATACTTTTCTCTATGTTGTTTTAGAAAACACATCAGACACTTCTTTTGTTCTTGGTGTCATATATTCGGAATGAAATGAAACATCTATCCGAACCTCATTGGAACGAAATGACATAAACACAACGTGTTTAAGGTCTCTCAATATTAAAATTGTACAAAGGAAAGTTTGGTTGATTTAAAAAAGTAACTTGTTAATGAAATAATCTTAATTTTTATCCATTTGTTTGTTTGTTTTTTAATTTTTTGAATACTTTTTGTTAAATCAACCAAAATTCCCTTTGTATAACTATAACTATTTTGTTCCAACAATTCGGAAAGATATTTCATTTAATGCTCAAGAATTGGTAAAAAGGAACAAAAAACAATTTTGCACTAAAAACAAAAGCAGTTCAATAAAATACATATATAAATAATTTTTGCATTCAATTGTTGTCAATCAGTCAAAATTACATAAAGGACCGTGTTTTTACAGAATGTTTTCAATAATTGGTTAATGAGAAAAACATTGTTGAATTCAGTTCACCATATCGATACCAATCCTTTTATACTAGTAAATAAATGTTTCTATCAACCTCGTGCATATCTTTAATTATCTCTAAAAAAACTAAATTGTATGATAGTCATATTGAAATGTTTGTTCAGTATGCATTTTGAATGTCTTGTAATTAATTTTGTGAGGATTGAACCAAGTGTTTGGTTTGAAACACAATAAAATCTTCAATCTTGAAATCTATTATGGCATCGTTGTCTGTCTTTCTTCAATGTGACATACTATTACGCCATCTATTAAAATGAAGAATATATTTATGGTAAGTATACCAATATATCGTTATGCTTGTGAAAACATCTATATGTAGAGTCAATTCAAGAATAGTGTTAAATTTACATCTTCATTCGAGAAAGCAAAACGTTCAAAACCACAGGGTGGGTGATAAAACAAATACACAAGGTTAATATAAGTTATTCAATGATTTGAAGTGCAATACTGGATATATTCTGCTCGAGAAATTCCATATTGGAACGAGGCGTAGTCAAGTGCCAATACAGAATATCGAGACAGAATATATCCTGTATTACACTTCAAACCATTCAATAACGTTTTTATCGTGTGATCCTCTGTATTGCTACTGGGATTGTCCCCTTCGTACCAATATTTTCTGTATTGCGACGGAGATGATCAACGGGAACAATCTCAGTAGCAATACAGATTGGTACAGCACGAGAACTGACCAATCAGAGAGCTTCATTTTACAGATCATACGATAAAGATGAGTATCGTATGATGTATGTTAAATCACGTCAATGTATATCATTTTAAAGATAAATCATGCATTTGCTAACAATATGACACCATTCGATTGAAAAACTAGAGGTTAACATTTACACCAGGGGTGTCATGAGCGACCAAAAATAGTCAATGCGAATTTCCAAATTGTGGAAAATGGAGGGAAACTTGTATTTTGGCATCTTCAAAAGAGGTAAAATACAAGTTTAGTGCAAAATTCACCTTCAAAATTTGAAGTGTATTACTCTTAGATAAAATATATAATACATGACATTTGGTTTTGGCCCACCCTGTATAAGCATATACATTTGTTTGACACAAGTATTCTTCGATGTAATTGTTAAACAATTCTATTCATAAATATATACTCAAAGTTCGAATAGAGCTGTGTATGAAATAACATGAATGGTGTCTGTTAAACTTAATTTTGTATCTTATAGATATCAAATGAACATAATATGCAGACTTTATTTTAGTTCAATTAACTGAACTATTCAAAGCATGTAAAATTGGTTTCATCTCATGGTTTTTGTGGGTGTCGTTTTTCATGTTTCTCCAAAATTTCCGTTCCTTTCCACTAATGTCGATCACGATAACAACATTGTCATTTTGCGTATGATCTTCCTTAAGTTCAATAATTTTTGTTTTACCACTATCATCGATCAATCTGTCATTAGCTTTATCGAACTCGTCGCATTCATCAGGGGTCACAAGTTGTCTCATGCCATCTGCCGTATGATCTTCCAAATCTTTAATTACATCTGTTTTATAATGAAAATTGATCACTAAATTGTCACCCTTGTCAGAGTCGTCCGGTTCGCTTTCAGGGGACTCAAGTTTGATGCCATTTGCCGTACAATCTTCCACATTTTCACTAATTTCTGTTTTACCTTCATCCTCCTCAATAATCTTGAATTTAAAATCATTCATAGGCCAAGTTTGATAAAAGTTATCGATGATTTCATTCACTTTATTGTTGAAGCTGACAGTGTTGAGTTCACAGTGATCGTCTGCTGATATGAGTTTATGCTTGAACAGGAAGGGTATCATGCCACCCGCCAGTGTGGCTAGGGTCTGGTTCGTCGATGAAACTCTGTAGATGCTGCCAAAAGTCATTATGACGACGAACACGAAGAGAAGGAAAACTATAATACTGAGAAGTTTCCATGAGGCTGATAATAGACTCTTATGTACGGGTCCAGGACTCCCTGCCAGTCGGATGTCACACACATCCTGGAAAAGCTTAATGGGTATGCGCGGCATGTCTTCAGAGTCTAGAAACAGAATTAGATCATTGATGATCCAGTGGGGGTGTGTTTCCGTTTCGTCAATTCTATCTGGTTTTTCATGCTTGCCCTGTTCACTTAACTCTTGTCCTTTAAATCCAATATTCTCTTGAAGATGGGATGGCAAATTTGTAACCTCATCGAGATCACGCATGCGCTTCTTAATATCGTAAAATAGTGCCTTGTTCAACTTAAGATATTTCTTATACACATTTGCAAAACAAGACTGAGCGTACATTACAACCATTACAAACATCATAATGTATCTGAGGACAGAGCTAGCATTGACGATGATACCCATTAAGGTATAAACCGATACCTCCACTATCATACCAATACATTCTGCGAACATAATTGTTATTGCATATATAGAACCAATAAGTAATATCCCTCCTCCAACATCCAACAGTTTCTTGAAACACGTGTCCGCCTCTCCCAATGTCGATTTGATTTCCGAACTGAATTGGCTTATGTTAGCAATGGTCGTCTCTCTTCTAAACTTTTCAACTCGTCGAACAAACCAATGTTTATCGGAGCTTGGATGGAAAATACAGTTCTTGATATGCACAAGGGTGCGATACGTCAGGTAGACGATAGGAGTGCAGTAGAAAGCGATTGTGATAATGACAAAGGGTAAAGCCAATGGCCAGAACAACAAAGCAACACAGCATCCAAATATTCCGTATTTATTAAATGGCCAGATGACTGCTCTTACCAAAAAACCTAGTGCCTCCAAATAACAAACGTTTTTCATGTCTCGGAGGGAAGTTGTTATAATGTTCTTTAATGTGTTAGTCCCTTCAGATTTCTTGGAGCTGAAGACTACAAATACAAAAGCGGCAATTAAGTAAAAGCCATAGATAACGAATAACATAGGATGAGTCGGGGTCAAATACTCCATCAAGTTAAACTCATATCTGGGATGCAGACCCAACCGCTCTAATGTCCTTGTTCTTGATTTCAACTCAATTTCCTCCGTAAAATAATACATCACGATTCTGATGTAAAAGGGAAAGGGCACAAGGATGACGATGCAGAAACGCCCCAGAAGTTTGCAAACATCGATCCAGAGTGGTGAACGTGGACCTTGCTCGTTTGAGCAGCCTAATATGCTTTCGCTGCAACAGTCTTTGAAAGGTTGTACATTTTGGATTTTGCACAAGCAGAGGGAACGATATATGGATTTGAATAATCCAACTGGTACCTTTGACTCGATTAATAGATTCTTATGATCGACATCGATATGATATTCATAAATGTTTACATCTAGTGGAACATCTAACATGTCCAAAGGAATCTTCTCTATCGACTCGTGACACATCTGAAAAGTATTGAGATCGTTCACTTGAAACTTGTACATGTTTTTTTCGTTGTGTTTCAAGTTTTGAGTCGGCTTGGTCTTGACATATATTTTCTTCTTCAATGGTTCTTTCATTTTAACAACATACGGAACCTGGTCGAATGATAAACTTCCAACGAAGCCCGGAAGGAAAAGTGGTCCGAACAACAGAACGATAATTTTGAGGGCCACCAACATTACGTAGATGACAAACAGCCAGATATCATCAATATGTATGTCTTCAATACAAATAACGTCTGATGTCAGCGCATCCTGATTACAACATCGATATGTGAAATATGCTCCATGCTGGCTGTTCCGTATGACCTTGTGGCATATCTTGTCCCTTTCCCCCAGCGTTGTACTGGTCGCATTTGTGTTAAAGTCTCTGAGCAGGAGTGCCATTATTGTATCAATTTTATCTTCCTCTATTAAGCCAGCAAGACAATGCATTGGTTTGTCGGCAATTTCAACGTGTTTCTCGATAACACCAATTGTGAGAAGGGTTAACGATAATACTGGAAAATTGAAGTCCAGGTTTAGCAATGTGATACCATGCTTTCCGTTTGCTCTGTTCATTCTGTTACTTTGAAAGTTGAACGTCATGTTATCCAATAGAGGGTTGGTATGTTTCGTTCGTTCATATTGCGGAAACTTAAGGTTGTATAGTATCAACTGGTTTTGCATTATCAAGTCCGTCACTTCAGTATAAAGATGCGGATTTATCGAATAGACCTCACAGCTGTTCGTTTTGCTGTACCCACGGGTCACGGTGTTTGATATGTCCCCGTCAATGTCCGGATTTGGTTCATTTGGCAAATTTTGTTTCTCGATCAAATGTCCAAGCGTCAAGCTGCCTATGAACAACACAATTAATACAAAACAGCCCATGAATCTGTGCCCTGAAAACATGCGGTTGAAATCCATCGTTGGTATTTTTAACTTTTACTTTATGTTTAACTTCTGAATACGAGTATATTATATGACTATCTGTGTGAACAGAGATAACACTCACTAAATTATGAGCTAAAATCTAATCGGGCAAATGCTATTTAGTTCAAAGTGTCTTTCAACACTTGTAGTAATTCATGATTCTTAGGGAACTCAGTCATTGATAACACACCTTTGTTCAAATAAAGGTTAGGTACATTTTAAACTTTGGCGTTAACTGTTGTGTCATTTTAACATAACATCGAAACGGTGTTTATTGAATTCGACAATAGTATATTATTAACTACTTTTACAGAGCGAGCAAAAAAGGTAACTCAAACAAATGTTTAAGCTAGTAAAGATGAGTGTTTTTCACGCCTTTGCAGAGCCTTATTACATATATTACAGCATGTTGCTGTATATATTACTCACTTGAAATGATGCCCAGCTTTCATTGCATTTAAATACAAGGCACTGACATCACAAAACGTCACCACCTGCAAATGGCTACAAAAGTGTAACAATTGTTACAAATGAAAGTCAACCAAATCTCATATCTTAAATCAGAGCTTAACTTTTGAGAACCTGTAGATGATTAAAGACGCCGACCGCCGAAGCCGAAGACCAATCGCGGAACATCAACCGCCGAAAACCCTCTACAAAAAAGAGACTAACTAACAATTTAACCATATTTTGTACAATATAGGAATCTCTTTATAGGTTTGAAATCACGCTTTAGCTTCTTTTTTCGTGGGATTTTAAGAGATTGCTTTTTATCAGCATATTTGAATTCTGTGAAATGTTCTACCTGAAAAGTTTTGATTCATACAGTTATGTTATTGAAATCATTTACCACGACTTTTCAACATTTCTAAAAACTTTTCTGAAAAGTATGGGCCAAATCTTCATTGATGCAATCTTCTAGAAATGTTAAAATTCACAAAATTCTTTAACTTTAAGACCTTAACTTTAATGGGGAATTCGTTCGACAAACTTTTTCATGATCAATCACAATATGAACATTAACAGGGTCATCCTATAGTATGCCATTCGAGTTTCAGACTGTTTCAACCAACCCTTTTGATAAATAATTAATGATTAAGTGACTATTGCAAGTTTTTAACATCGAAGCCTATGGCCTTTGGCCCAACCAAAACAAATAAAAAATAAATAGTATCGTGGGTACCGGGCTCACATGGTGTTGCTCAAAAGTGAATGATGGCTAAAATGGCAGAAAATAAAAAAATGGATGTAATTTTTGCCGAGTTTTTATAACAAAATTATTTCATACAACTACTCTTAACAGTGACATGGCTTTTTACAATGCAGGACACCTGAAATTATTTGTAAAGCTATGGAATAGGCCACAAGTGAATTCTGCGAGACAAAAATGGCGGCCATTTTGAAAATAGGCGAGGTTTTGAACCAGGAGTCATAGAGGAGTTTTCTACATTGATGTTGAACAAAAATAACTTAAAACGGGAATCCTATCGACAGAGGTTTTAAGGCAAATGGGCCAAAAGTGAATTTCGCGAGACAAAAATGGCGACCATTTGAAAATAGGCGAGCTTTTGAACCAGGAGTCATAAGAGAGTTTTCTGTATTGATGTTAAAACGGGAATCCTATCGACACATGTTGTAAAGCAAATAGTCCAAAGGTGAATTTCGAGAGACAAAAATGGCGGTCAAAAATAGTCGAGCTTTTAACCAGGAGTCATAGATTTTCTATATTGATGTTGAACAAAAATAACTTAAAACGGGAATCCTATTGACAGAGGTTTTAAAACTGGTTGACAGACGGACAGACTCACCATGTGAGCTAATAAGTGGCGACATCTATTTATTCAGTTATATACCAACTCCCTTATTGTGACCATATATTGAAACTTGGTAGAATGCTAAAAGAACATTGAACAAGGTTTAATTGTGCCAAATATGAGTTTAAAAACAAGCTATGTAAATGACTGAGTTATCATGTTTGGGTTACTTTTTTGGCTCACCCTGTATATAAGAAGAAATTAAGGTATGACCCATCCTCATCTGCCCATAGGCCTCTAAACTATTAAAATCCTTTACTTTACTTCGTTGAGAATATCACTTTTTACCTATCAGTCTTTGATTAAAACGTTGACGGGACGAAACGACGAATAACCAACGAGTACTTTGAGAAATTCACGTGTTCAAATGACACAGATTGCAATTTAACTGATTTTAAAATGCTGGTGTCAAAGGAATACGTCACCGGAACTTCGTCCCCGCTTCCAAGAGTTATTTCCATCGTATTCATTAAATGTGTGACAGTGTCCCAATTAGACTTTTACATCCTATAAGTGGTTTGACATCTAATTGACGTTTGTCATATTAATCTCATTTCAGTAAAATGTGATATCTCAAAGTGCAAACCACATACTTCAGCTTTATTGGTATGATAGGTGAGCTCGCCAAATATCATATTTTGGAGCACGTTTACAACTAGAAACACATGAATAATAGAATAGCATCTTGTGATATCCAAGCGACTCAACATTTGAAGAATTTATGCAGATATTGATTTTAAGATTTTGGGCATACCCCAAATCTCATATCTATAATCTCCGTATCAGTAAAATGGTGGTTATTTTTTAGCAATATTAATTTGTGTAAATTATCCAAAATAAAGAACATAGGGGGTTTTTAGAAAGTATACTTACATGAATGCATGACTTAGGGACCATCATTTCTTTCACACCTGGTTAAACTCATTCAAAACGATTGATATATTGGTTGAAGATCAGTATATATTTAACTACTCAACATAATTTACATTAACTTATTACAGTCGCTAAAGGTTAACTATGCTACTTATCATTAAGTTATATATCATTAAGCCTTATTGCTTTTAGATAAGTCCATAATTCACGAAGGTATGTAATGGCGTTTATTCCTGCCGTATTCTTTCAGATTTTGTATGTGATGAGCGCAATAACTTTTAAATGTGCTGAGATCAAGTGGAGCAAGTGCGACATCTTTACAATCACTGGCTTTTTGTTTTATGGTATCGTCTTGTTCTTGCAAAGATGAGCTTGAGGTTGGAGACCCTCTTTTGGAAAGATCAAGTGGCGAGTCAACTGTGTTCGATTTGCGAAGGTCTATTGGTCTATTTGCCGCTTCCAGATGTTCAACCTGGTGGAAGTCAGGGACAGCGCTCGCGATTGCCTCGTGTTGATATTCAGCAGTCTTGAAATGTCCATTGATATTATAAGGAACGTTATTGTCGTAAAACATACTAGGGGCAATGACCTTTTCTCGTTGAAAGGTGTATCCATTTTTGGTTACAACGTCACATTTACCCTGAAGCTGCCATCTTGGATTATGGTCGTTCTTTCGGTTGTTGTTCACTCGTTTGTTGGGTCGTGAACGTTTGCTGGGGCGAGTTAATGCATCGTGTAAGTGGGACTGGTAGGCTATCATCCGGGCTTTGTAAGCAAGCGCCTCTTGTTCAGCTTCAGTAAGGTAAACATCAGAGTATTTACCGTTATATCTGATTTCTCGTTTGATCTCGGGAGATGGAGCATGATGCCGAGATAAATGTTCCTCCTGGCTGCGTCTTCTTTTTAGCGATTGCTCACTGGACAATATTGCTGGACGTTTGTTCTGAATCTGCATCTGAGGTGATGGAGGTGATGTATTGTTGTTTTCACGCCTGGTCTGAGATTCAGCAGTAAACACAGGCTTCGTGTGCTCGGCGTCTTTCACCTCGCCGTCGTCTATGCCTTTAGACGTGCGAAGACGATCAATTATGCTGTCCAAAGACAATCTGTTGTTTCTGGAAACAAAAACCAAATAGTCAGAAAGTGAATCGGTTCATAGACATTATTATTCAAATATATAATAACAAGGTATTGACATGCAAACTGTCACCAATTGCGAGTGTCAATTTGTTTACAGGCGCCAATCTCCGAAGTCCAACCGCGGTGACGCCATATTAACTTCGTGGTATTATAAATGAGAACCCACGTGGCAAATCTATGACGTAACCAATTTCAACGAACGTATAGCCGTTTCAGGGGTATCCATTCCTCGTAAAAATAACTTGTGCTAGTAGGAACAGAGTAAATGATTATGAGCACGATTTATTTGCTACTTCCTGTGAACATAAAAAGGCACCGTGCAAACAAACTACAAATAGACAATTATTATTGGATGTATTAAGGACCTGTATACAAATCGAGCGAATATAGCAAAATAATGTCAAGAATATTTTTAGTTTCGAACTATAATGAGCCAGGTGAACGGCTATTACCCACACAAACATGATCGGAAATCATCAAATCATGTGCTACCTCAATACATGGTTCTATATTTTTCTAAAGATCATTGGATGCATTTCATGAAAATTATCTTACTTCAATACATTTGGAGATTTTGAATCGTTGTTAAGTTGGCTGAACTGATCGTGTGTTTCAGCTGGACTGGGACTACGAAATTCGCCCCCGACTCCATTATCTTCCTGTCTTGTTACATAGTCGGTTATCTCTTCATCTGCATCACTTAATCGAAGCTCGTCTCGTTCGATCTCCTTATTTATCGCAAATGTTACTGCTTTGTTTTTCTTTCCCTGCAAAAACAAAGAAAGATATCATGTATAGCGTCGACAGGCTAAGATAAGACATTAGTAAAGATACATAAACACGCTAGAGCTGCGGATCCGATTTCAAGATAGCAGTTTACGGAAATGGCACAGTCGTGGTACTTTTTAGATTAATGGCTCGCCAAAACTAGCGATTAGGGAGAAGCTTTATTGGTTGAATGATCGTGTACGAGGAAAACGTCGTGTGGTTTAAATTAAGATTAAACCGTAGTGATTGCATATGTAAATAACATCTATTTCGTACGTCAGTACACAATCTCGAATCAGAGCATGGGCCACCATATTGAGCCTCCCCATTATATCATGGATAAATGATCCGTATGCGTCATGATACTGTACGTTTCGTAATAGTTCAATCATTCATTAATTAAGAAAATATATTCTTCGGTCACAAAGCCCCAAGAGATCATCCGTAAGTGTCTTTCCGATGTAAATGAGAATATTATCTCTCATTTATATCACCGCACCAGACCTAGTTTGTATTGATCTACCTGGTCCAAACTGCGCCCAAATAATAAGCTGAACTAGGTCACCGTTGGGAACTTCAAACTGTGATAGACCGGAAATAATTAATTCTATTCCGGTACCCTTATGCATTAATACATTTTCAATAGTTCGATTCTGCTTCTTTAAAAGAAGGATTTATCAACCTAAATTTACGTAAGCTCTGAAACTCAGGCAAACTCAGGATAATGTATAATATAATTAACATTCAACGTTGGAGCGAAGGATATAGAGAGTAACTTGTTAAAATAAATATTGTAAATTAACATGCCAATGTGTCCCTAGGCCCTCACGATCCCAAATTCAACATCTGAAAACTGATCCGGGATATCTGATCAAATATGAACGTCGTAGAGTTAAGCCAAGTCCGTTTAACTCAGTCGTTGGAATTTATTGGAGATTTCCGCACCTAGTGTTTTCATTAGGAAGTTTACTCCGATGTTGTACAAGGCAAATAAACTGTTTTAATACAATTACGGCGATCTTACTTTTACGAATGGCAGTTTCGTGAATACAATTCACATGTTCAAATATTTTGAAGTATGTCACAATGCAAATCGATTTGATGCATCGAGTCGTGTCGTCTAGATTAAATCGTACGCTTCTGAGTGCAGTACAAGTTACGGGGATAAGTGGCGGTAAAATAGCTTTGAACTATCGGCTAGTTAACCATTTAAAACATTCCACGATAGCTCTCTATGGGGTTTTATATTCGCGATAAACTGAATAATGACCCAATGTTATTAACCACGAGATTAAATTTCAAGATGCTAAATAATGTATGGCACGACATATGGAACGCTCTGAGATATGTCGTAACGCTTGGGACTTTACTGCGTCAAGGGTTTGTATCAAGTAGGCCGTTTATAACAATCTATTGTATTTATTAATATATATTAATGTCCAGGTTACAAGAAAACTGGCAAACATCATTTATGGGTATTCGTTCCTACACTACCGTTACTCGGCAGGGATTCCCAATCTAAAATTTTGTAGGATTACGAAACACTAATTAGTTATCGACAGTTTCGTCATAAAAGGCGGAAAACGTGTTTCTATCTATTCACATGCCGGAATGTTTAGATCTAAATTACAGGGAAATACCTGGTTCACTTAAAACTCTGATTTATATGAAATTACATTTCGTGCTTATTTGCCAAGATAACAGGGTTTTATTTCCGTAACCGTTGCTGCGTTGTGTTTATTACGGAAATGTTTGAGGCGACCCATCGCAGCGAAACACGATGACGACGTGACTGCTGAATGGTTGCGTGCGATTACGGCTTACATGGAATTTTGCAGGGCTAATTTCGATCTAATTCAAAATGTCGTGCCGTGAAGCGATGGTTTACGACCTGAGTACTTAAGATGCATGCGGAGGTATATTGAATCGAAAAGGCTGGCTCCGATCGTCAATTTTAGGTAGTAATATCTAATCAATTCATATAGCCATATCTTGTAAGATAAATGTATGTACTATTATATAGCCTGTAAGTATTGTCGATTCGTAATGTCACCTTTAATTAAGACTCCCTGTGAAAATCAAACACCTAACATTCGTTTCAAATTAGGAAACAGGATGCAAAATAGCCAAATCAATCTAAAAAGATTATTACAAAATTTGAATAATTGATATCTCTAAACCATCAAAGCTGATTATGAAGTTATTGTTGACATAATTAAGTAAAGGTGTTAGACTTATTCATACTTTACCAACCTTATTGGCGTCCTTTTCCCTGTGTGGTGCCCCGCTGGTACACTCGCATCCATTAGCGTGCACGGTTAGGTAGCCCTTCGTTATCAGAACCTTCAGGCTTTTTCCGCCATGTCGTATGGAGCGTTTCCAATCTTTGGCACTCTGCCTGCCGCTGATAAACTGAAATTCGTTCGGCGTCAACCATCTTTCTTCATGTAAGATACACTTTCCTTTACTTCCCAGACAAAGTTTTTCCTTGTAAAGAATAGCAATTTTTTCTCCACATTCAATATCTAGCACGATCTCGCCACTGTCTGTGTTATGTGGTTGAAAATGTACAACACCAAACGAATTTGTATTCTTTGGTTCCTTCATCATCGTTGGTCAAATTCCGGACCCCTCTTTTTCTCCTATTCTTCCGACACGCCCTGTAGTGGCTCCTTAAATTATGTGTCCCACGATATCTTCAGTTGAATGTTCACCTGTACGTCGCCAACTCAACGTTTCCCAAGGTACGATTGTAACTTATATTTCAATCAAGTACTAACGTGTGACGTGTTCTTATTTCGTTTCGAATGTAGAGCACATGTGTATCGTAACAACGCTCAATTTCGCTTCGTCGATTTCAAAAGTTCCGTATTGTGACTCAAGCTGTGTACTAGGCGGCATCAGATGTTATAAAGGCGATAAGAAGTGTCGTGGCACTTTAGTGTATCAGTATCAATCCCGAATGTTAATTACCAATTTTAAGTGTCGTATACTCTTCCTGCCTTTAACAATGGACTTTGAAAACGTTTCGGCCGGAACTCCGTAAGTTGATAATCTGTTTAATTAGCAACAGTGATGTGTAATGTGAAAGACTTGCTCGCTAAACAGTAAATTAGACGGCTGTCTGGATTTAGGCGGTAGTACATCTGTTCAAGTGATTACAAATAAAGCGATCCTGACTGCCGTAGTTGGCGATAGCACGTCAGGCACAGTGTGTTCTTGTGAACTTTTGTTGGCTACGGATGAAATCTGAGATCTACGATAACATGTCTTAAATCACTGTGCCAAACTCGCCTCCGTCTAACCTATCGCACGACATTTCTCTCTAATGAAAGCAGCGATCTCCTGCTGGCATGAAGATAAGTGTCACGCATTTGTTGATTTTGACAGCTAATCACCCATTAGCTTACGGAAATAGTTAATGTGCGTGCGTAGATACGGGACTATGAAACCTTTAACATGTGAAACACAATTTGAACCAATCTACGGTATACATATATATACAATCGAACTAACACCCCCTTGCCCAGATTAATATTGATGAAATGGTTAAATACACATTCATCCGAAACGAATAGAAAATCCCAGCCGTTACGGCGTTTACCACGAAACCCTGACAATCAAAAGATAAATCCTCCAAATCTAAAAATAAACCCCAAGATTCATTTTATGGTTTATAGGAAACCTGAAACTGTACAATTTGTTATAATAATGAAGATTCTCGATCTTTTATTTTAAGCATGTTTCAATGATTCAATGCCCACCAATATCATCAGCATGATCACAGCGTCACTTATACCAGTTACATTTTCCGATGCAAACATCGTCCAAGCCGAAAAGGCGTAATCGGGTATCAAAATAGGCAGAGTGTAACTAGATAGATAGGCGCGAGGTAAAACTTGAGCTGAGTAGATACGTTATTGTATATTGGATGGTGGTATATTTTAATCTTCATACTAGATCTTAATGTGTTTTTTTAAAAAAAGTCTTAAGATCATTGTTAACTTTTTTGGAGAGGCAACGTATCGCCTGCTTTATTTTAATGGGTCAGCTACGTTCATGCCCATGTTTATCCAGGTTATCCGGAATACATTATTATGTATCGGTCGTTGTGATCGTCAAATCAGGTTAGTTACGGCTCGTAAAAATGGATGTCAACTAGTTAAAGTAGAATATATATCCAGAGACTGTTTTATCTATATCTAACCGGGTAATGCGTCATTCAAAAGTTTGCGTGAGACCCGCCCCCACGCGGGCATCCCGGCACGGGGGGGGGGGGGGATTGGACAAAAAAATTTGGCCTGTCTAATTCCTTACCCCAGGGCCAAATAAATGTGTCAATTTCCCTACCCTTGAAGCAATAAATCTGGTCAAATTATATTCGCGACCCCCGGGTCCTTCCAACATGTGCAATCTATTTTTAAACATCAGGATTTCCTTGTTAGTAGACTGATGCTCGTAAATGTTGAGGGACACACGTGCAGTACTTTGTTTATGTCAATATTTTAATTAGAGACATCATATATGGTCATACAATTCTTCGCGGAAAGTCCACTACACATATGCTACAATTAATTTATGAATGAAATGTTCGCTTACGATTTACACATTACCAAATTGAGAAGCAGCTTTTTAAATGACGCAATTACCCGCGAAATTAAAAGGCAATGAGACATTCCATTTTATGACGACGTTTTCGTAAATTGCCTGAAAATTGTGACAAGATGAGCCGAGAGGGACATGGTTTTACTCTTGGTTTGTATATGTTCAACAAAAGTGGAGAACATACCTGTACAGCCTGTATGAACGATCATTTTTGTGGAATGGGCGGGTGGATTGTTGCGTTTGGGTACACGGGAACAAATCCACATTGTAGTAATTTTCGAAAGCTCTTTTGTAATTTATGCAATGACGTATTTTAAGATATTGGTTACCTACCTCCGTTTTATTCATCTATATCAATTTTATTAAATAAAAATTCGTTCGAACGTAACCCTTTTTCAAAAATTAATTTTAAATTAAATTAATCATCTATATTAAATCAATGACGAGCTTACAAATATAAGTAGAACGCGGAAGTCCATTTTTCCGAAGGGAGGGCGAAAAACAAGCTTGACAAACCAATAATTACGACACTGCTAAGTATTCTAGAATTCCTGTCTCCAGCGGTTGTTCTCGGCGATTCCACCCCTGAAACTATACCCGACGTGTAGATGAGTTATTTTCTTCTGTCCCCTATATGAACGATCATTAGTAGTTCGCTGAATATACCGATCATTTGCAAATTCCGAGAATTCTAAAGTGTATACGGGACGAAACAGATTCAGTCAAAAATCCCCATTCCCGGGCACATGTAAATCAAATTCCCCACCCACGGGACGACAATCTTTGTCAAATTCCTACACTCGGGGCAATATTGTGGATCAAATTTCTTACCCTCCCCACGTGGGGGTCTCACGCAAACTTTTGAATGGTGCATAACAAATAAACTATGACCAGAATATCACTGCACGTCACGCTCATATCTTGTAACTTGTGTAAATAGCAGATCTCCTCCCCCTCGGATGGGCCCAGACAGATTTTTTCCCAAATTGGCATAAAAATATTTGTCATTCTTGAAATGCGCCCCCCTCCCCAGTTAGTTTTCAAATTGCCCCTGTAGCTATAACTGGGTCATTCTCATACATACGTGCAAGATAAGTGACAACATAACACAATCATTCATAAGGGCAATATTTTCTTTTTATGAACGATTTGAATAATTTTCCAAGCACTGCCATACTAAACGTTGTGATGATTCGTTGACCAGTGGCAAATCAAATTAAAAGAATATGGGTCCATTCATCTTTGTGTTATAACCACTTGGAATTTGAAGATGGGTCCATTGCCATACCAAAAGTAAAAAATAAAGGTACACAGTATGAGCCGAGGACAACCACCAGGCTTAAAATAGAGTGAATCCCCGGGGTCTTGGTCTGAAGAAACCAACAAAGTATAATAGTGATCCACGTTAAAATTACTACACCATTCGTACCTGGTTTGTCAGACATGGTTCAGCTGCTTCGTAGACGTTGATGTGGATTCCAGCAAGACACATGTAATCGTGCAACCCCGGGCGTGCAACACATGTACATGTATGTGTCTAATAGGGAGGTTAGATACACGATTTTCAAAACTTGTACGTGAACTATGTAGAATTTATATGGTCCTCTGTGGATTAGTTCTCCCATGCTGTTAACTTGGCCGATTGATTATATAAAGGTATACTGAAAATAATTGTAATTAGGTCCCTGGAAAAGTGAATCGAGAGCGCTACAGTAATCTCCGGGGGTCGAAATATTGAACACGAGTAACCTCTATACACGCAGATGCGAGTAGGTAGTTACCAGATTCACCACCAAGTGGCTCGTTCGGGTCAGATAGCATAGCGGGTATAGTAGAAAGTTCCCCTTAACTTAAATTACATCTATTTGCGTGGTTCAATTTTCATATAACCCTTATGTATCTAATAGTTATGCAAATTAAAATATGTCCAGTAAAAGAAAATGTTATTTGTCAAATACAAGAGAAGATAATTCCCCTTTTCTGATTTTGTAACATGGGGTCTATGGGGAATCAACCCGAACAAGAATTCACATTTTCAAAAATAATTAAATTTTTAAAGTTGATAGACAATTTTCGAAACCATATTTCTAGATGTACTTTTACATGCAGATTTCAAATATGAGATCACTTTGACTAACTTTTGAATATTTAATGACGTAAATCAAGATTTTTCTACTCGCATCTAGTCTATTGACTACCTCAAAGTCCGGACTCGAGGTATTCCCGGACATGCACTGCGATCTGAAACAAACAAATCTGGAATTTTGGCAATTAATATGTGTTGTTAATATGGGTGGGTTCTAAGGCGTATTAACATTTTCAATAGACTAGATGCGAGTTGAAATAATTTTTATTTACGTCATTAAATATTCAAAATTCTTTCCGAACCTCGTTCGAACAAAATATATAGCATAAGCTTATACAACAATTTCTTAGACCTCTCAATATTAAGATATATTATACAAAGGGAATTTTGGTTGATTTAACAAAAAGTATTCAAAAAATTAAGACAAAAACCCCAAAATAGATAAAAATTAAGATAATCTTTTTATTTCATTAACAAGATACTTTTTCTAAATCAACCGAAATTTCTTTTGTACAATTACAATATTGAGAGACCTAAACACGTTGTGTTTATGTCATTTTGAGGTTCGGATAGATGTTTCATTTCATTCCAAACATATGATACCAAGAACAAAAGTAGTGTCTGATATGTTTTCTCAAACAATACAGAGAAAGGTGTACATTTGTTTTTAATTATGTTGTTACCATTCAAAAGATGACCATTAAATTGACGATGTGTAAAATTTTCAGAAATTTTTGATGACTGGTTTAAGAGAAACGTGTGTTAATCCTTTACATGTACAAGTACGTCTAGAAATGAATTGTTTAAATCAAATTTGAAAATTTATTTTTGAATATGCGACTTCTAGTTCGGGGTGATTCTCCATACATAGACCCCATGTTATAAAATCACAAAAAGTGAAATATCTTTTCTTGGATTGGACAGACAAAATTTTCTTTTACTGGACATATTTTAATTTGTATAACTATTAGATACATATATAAGGGTTCCAGTACATGATATGCTAGCATCAAGATTCGATCGTAAACAGACCCTAAAACACGAAATGGTGGATTGGCCGCAAATTAAATAAACAGTAACAGATTCCACTGAATTTCATTGATTCAAAATTCGATAAAAATAATCCGACGAAGGAAATAGAATACCCTGAGATACTGTGTCAGTTTAGTTCATAAGATGCATTACAGCATTTTAAATGTATCGTCGATAATTTAGAGAAGTCATCATACTACAGATCTCATCATCCTAGACAGAAACCTAGCTTTGTGTAGGTTTTTGTGGCCGTTACGAAATTGAACAACCATGTAGCAGTTATATCTGATATAAATATACCCACGACTCATTATCGTAGAGTAATTATGAGCGTTTAATTTTTTCGTAAACTATACCTGCTGTGTAAGTGAATTTCATAGTTTGATAGGACCTCCTACCCTTTTACACCGGCATGCCCGTAGCCAGGTTTTGGTTAGGAGGGGGGACATCCACACACAAAAATGTTTTCGTGCTTAACCTTCGCATTGTGATCACAAGGGTGTTTGGAGGGGACCCAAAAATTTCTGCAATTGTGCAGAAGAAAACTAAGGCCCAAATTTTGAAAAATGCCCAGTAATGCCCTAATGTTGTTAAAAATGACTAGGCCTTAG